TCACCATAAGCTTCTTCCATAATACGATTACTAAAAAAAGGAGAAAAAAAAATCAGAATGTTATACTTAAAAATAAGAGTGGGTGGGTGAGTAGACAAGTTATCTCCCTATATAGATGGAAAACCTAAAACAAAGGAAAGGAAAGGAAAATATTCCACAAATTTGGTGCACCATGCAAGTCCTCATGATTAAAAGAAAGAAGATAAATTTATTTTGAAATGTTGCTGCTCATTGTGTGGTTTCATTCATCCACAGGACTGTCTTCACCTCTGCACGTCTTCAATCGAGAGTGAAATCAAACCACTAGGCGTAGCTGATCAGCAGGATTCGGATGGTTTTGGTGATTCTGAACTAACCAGAGATAATGAGAAGGATGACCTGTTGCTCAGTATCATTCTCTCCACTCTGGCTTCTAAAGACAAAGCAGCAGAGGACGATCTGGACGCCCACGATGATCAACGTCGCTCCTATGCCATGGAGCATTTCCGCTGGGGGAAGCCCTTCGGCCGCAAGCGCAGGCCTGTCAAAGTGTTCCCCTCTGATGTGGATGAAGACGCCTTCCCCCTGCGGGCTCGCAGGCAAGTGAGCTGGAATAAGGCTGAAACGAAGGATGGCGTGGTTAAAGGAAACAGTAAAAACCTGCATCTGCTGCGGTCCAGACCCAGGTTCAGGTCCCAAACGCCGCAAGGCCTGCCAGAGAGAAAAGCTGAGACCTACAAGATGAGTCACTTCAGATGGGGCAGCCCACCTGCGTCAAAACCAAACGGGGGATTGAAGAAGCTGTGGGACGAGAAACCTCGGGGAAAGATTGCTAAATTACTCAAGAACATTTTGGAGAAGGATGTGAAAATTATGTTGGAATAAAGAGTAGATCAACTAGAGATGTGTCTGTAAAATAAATCTTGGTTAGTTTCCATATATCTTCATCTAAGAAACTACTTACTTCAGAATAAATGTATTTTGGGTTGTAATATTTAATTAAAACTGACTTAAGGCAGTAATAAAGCACATAATGACCTGCTTGAAGTATTTGGACATGACTTGAAAGTTTAAAAGTTATCACTCAGTTAATTAAATCTTGTATTGGCTTTGTGTCTTTTGTGGATTTGTATTTATTAAAGTATAAGGTAATTAGCATACTAATGTGTTTTTGTAATTTATTATGAAAATAAATATTCAGTTCTTGCAATTGACAGTTTTCTGCTTGATTTAATCTACAAAAAAAATATTATCAACATTTATTTGCAGTCAATATCCATCTAGTTATAGAACAAAAAAGAAAAGGAATTATCTTTTGATTATTCTTAACCCTTTTTCATTTAAAATTTCATCTTATTTTTAATCACAGTCACCTGGAGCCTATTCTTAACATGGTACACCTCTTAAATAACCTTTTGGCATAGTAATAATAACAGTTTGTGTAAAAATGCTCATTTATTTCCCTTCCTAACCTAAACAGATCTGTACATGTATTTTTAATACCGTATGTTTTTTTTGTTTTTTTTTAAGAAATCCTTTTGAAAAATAGAACTCCTCCTGATGACGAAAATAAGAAAATTTTCAGGACTAACATAATTTAACAAAGATGACCTCCTCATTGACCTGTAATACATGTCATTAAAGTAAAGCCATAAGAAATGGAGACAAGCCACTTGAGTGACTTTGGTGTTAAATCTACAGGTAACATTAACATTGATTTGTTAAAGTATGCTAAACAAATTTAAGGAACTTTCTGTTCCAATCAAAGGTTGTTAGGTGTACAAGCTGACGTATAACTAACTGGCCTGCATAAAATAATGAAAAAACAAAAAACACAGATTTTAAGACAGGATTTCTTTTTTTTGTAAAGAAATTTTCCAAATTTTGGGTCAATATAGTTTGATAAACGGTACATTTATATATATATATATATATATATATATATATATATATATATATATATAT